ACTTACCTACGAAAATTTCCGTAGGTAACTTACCTACGAAAATTTCCGTAGGTAACTTATCTACGGAAATTTCCGTAGATAAGTTACCTACGGAAATTTTCGTAGGTAAGTTACCTACGGAAATTTTCGTAGGTAAGTTACCTATGGAAATTTTCGTAGGTAAGTTACCTACGGAAATTTCTGTAGGTAAGTTACCTACGGAAATTTCCGTAGGTAAGTTATCTAAGGAAATTTCCGTAGATAAACGCATCCGTAGATAAATTCCGTAGATAAACACATCCGTAGATAAATTCTATATCCGTAGATAAAATCCGTAGATAACGTTATCTACGGAAAATTTTCCATATCTACGACCTTATTATCTACGGATTTTTTTCCGTAGATAATCCGTAGATAATTATCAGTTATCTACGGATTTTCATCATTATCTACAGATTTTTTCCGTAGATAATGCTGATTTTTCTTGTAGTGCTCTAGAGATGACTGGTACGAACGTTGAGTGATTGAGAAACTTATTAACAAACATTCCTCTATGAATGAAACCAACCTTATCAGTGTCAATACATTTTGATAACCAATCAACAATAGTTATAACTAAGAATTGTGACACCTTCTACCTCACATACATGGATAAATTTAAAACTTCTTAACACATATTTATAAATATTAATCCAAATCCATACATAAATAATCCAAATGAAATCTCTAACATAGGGTAAAGAATATCACATAACAAACTATGAAACAGACTCCTAATTATTAAGCGGAAACAAAAAACTAAACTTGAATCCTATCATAAAAACTAATAAAAATATTATTGCTAATCTAAGCCTCAATGTCATATGTCTTATCAAAGCACTCCTAAAACAAGGATTATGCCTTGTCATCAGTATCATCAAGATCCTAATGAGCATTACTTACAACAACATTCATACAATCAAGACATGAAAACATCAGGAGTGAGAAACTTCTCACTCTAGCTCATGGCATGGAATAAAAAACAAATAGCTAAACCCACTTCAATCATACAATATAATGAGATTAATGATCAACTGTCACAAATAATCATTTATTACTACCAACACAAGTACTTGTTAATAACGCATCAATCATCACTAATTCAGACACATGCTAGTTTGGAATGCAATGGACACATACTTTTGATTTGCATACATGTGGTAACAATCTCAATATATGTACAATGCATGTTAACAATTTGTCAATTTACATGCATGTGATGCATGTCACATAGACTCTTTCATATTATGAATTCAATGTATACATATGCTCAATGATTTTACATTAAATGATTTGCCATAAGTAAGATTTGTCATACTCAAAATAGTTATTAATCATGCATACTTGTTACCATATACACAATTTGCCAACATTGTTCCATTTGCAACATTCATTCATCATCACATCACAATTTCATATTCACTCATCATACTCAATCATATCTATCAATTAGCACAATGATCATTATGAAACCATCTGACCAAATATGAAACCTTAGCCATAATCACTAAGAGATCATTATCAAATTAAGCATTTACATTAATAACTTAACTAATTTAATAACGTTATGATTCCACAAATTGATTCCTTAGGTATCACTATCATGCATCAAACACCTTACACATTAATAATTAACTCACGTTATAACTTATTTACAATTGTTCTCTCTCCTGATTTATGTTTCTTATACATTTAATTACAATAATTCAATCTCATTTTTACATAATTGCATACTCATAATATCTTCTCACACTACAAGAATGTTTTAATTTAGAGTCGGCCAAAAGCTGACTCTAAATCATAAAAATTGATGTAATATTGTCCGTTATTCGTCGGTTTTTGGCCGACTCTAAATAATTGACACAATTTTTTTTGTGTCGGCTAAGCCGTCACTAACAAATTTATTTATTTTAATTTTTTCTTGTCGGTTAAACCGAAACTATGTTGACACAAAATTTATTTTATTTTTTCCTTTATTCTATTTGTATTTTTAACATTCCTGGGACTCGATCCATGAACCTTGAGATCTTAAGTGAACTTGATAACCAGGTGTACTAGAACACATTATTCATATATAACATTGAAAAATTTAACTTTATCTCTTTTGAAGCACGTATATTATTTAAATATAGCATCGGCTTTTCCGATGCTAAACTTAAAATAAATTTAATTTAAATTTATTTTAAGTTTAGTGTCGGAAAAGCTGACGCTATTCTTTAAATATAGCGTCGTCTTTTCCGACACTAACTTGATTTAAATTTAAATTAAATTAGTGTCGGAAAAGCCGACGCTATATTTAAAGAATAGCGTTAGCTTTTCCGACGCTAAACTTAAAATAAATTTAAATTAAATATTTTAAGTTTAGCATCGGAAAAGCCGACGCTATATTTAAATAATAGCGTCAGCTTTTCTGACGCTAAACTTAAAATATTTAATTTAAATTTATTTTAAGTTTAGCATCGGAAAAGCCGACACTACATTTTAAAATAGCGTCGGCTTTTCTGACACTATTTGCGTCAGCTATTGACTGACGCTTATTTTTCACCACTTATTCACCTTTTTCTTGTAGTGTCATATAATTATCTAAATGCATTTTCTTAGGGTTCTTATAAGAATTCACAGACTACTCAAATCATATCAACAAACATCAATATATGAAATTAACCATAGATAATCATATAAAAGCATTATGGCTGAGATCCACTTGTTTAATTTTTGTAAGCGAATCAATAAAGTGATATTGATTGTACCTATCAAATAATGTGTTTCTGAACCATGAAGATAAAACACGTGTACATGACTTGTTTCATTGTTGCAGTAAATGCCTTTCTATGTGCAAGAAACTCTTATTTTCATCTTTCCTCCACATAGATAGCATGCCAAAGTCATATCGAAGGCTTTGTTTGAAGTTGAGGAGTGTTCATCTCTCTTTCTAAATGCATTTCACATAAGATGGAGAGTTGAATCCATGAATGAATTGTTTAGTAATGCACAGTAACAATGCAAACAACATTTTCAGAAAGTAATTTCCCATTACAATTTTGCAGATACAAAATTTCTGCTATGATAAAAGTGAAAGAACAAATATTTTACTCAAAACCCTAAACCCGAAACCCAAAAATTTCCGATCTCGCGACTAATGGTTTAGACATCCTTTTAAAAGTCTCATTAATTAAGGAATGCCCGGACACCAGACTAATCCTTAATTAATGGTTTTGAAAATAGGTTCATGGAGTCGCTACCAATATTTTACTCAAAACATTGTAAAAAGAAAAGGTTTTTAAAGATCCAATAATGGCCTTGATAACTAGAATTGGGTTCGGGGTCGGTTACGTGTAGGGAAGGTATTAAGCACCCCTACAGTGCCCTCAATCAGTACCTTATAATGAAGTTAACTATGATGAAGTTAACGTGATAAGAAATAATAAATTAAATATTAGATCCCCTTTATTAATAATTATTTACATACTTGAAATTTAAATAATATAGTTAATCCTAAAATGTCTACATGATTATTTTTATTATAACGATAATTATTATAAATAAGAAATAAAAATAAAGAGAAAGAAATTAACTGAAATACCTCTTGAATGAGCTTTATTGGATCTTTAAAATAGGGAGATTTTAGGTGCTTTGTGGCAACCTTTCACACTACATTGCCTCACAAAATCTCAAG